ATCTTGCTTCTCTCTCTCTCTCTCTTTATCTCCTTCTCTCTCTCCATCTAATCTTCCTCTCTCTCTTCTCTCTCTCTTCCTCGCTCTCTCTCTCTCTCTCTCGCTCGCCTCGCTCGCCCTGCTCTCACCTCTTCTCTCCTCTCTCGCTCGCGCTCGCGCTCGCGCTCACGCTCGCGCGCTCTCTCTCTTTCTCTCTCGCTCCTCCCGCCTCTCTCTCTCTCTCTCTCTCCTTTCCTCTTCTCTCTCTCTCTCTATTTCATCTCATCTCTCCCTGTCTGCTCTCTTTCGCACTGGCTTCTGACGGAGTCTGGTTAGGTGAGCCTGAGGGGTTAGGTGAGCCTGAGTGTGGGTGAGTCTGAGTATGGGTACGTCTGTGTGTGCCTGACTCTGAAGAAATGAATCTGAGTGTGAGTGAGCTTGTGTATGAGTGAGTCTGGGTGCGAGTCTGAATCCCACTGGTGCCCCTGGCAGTGTCTGGCGACTAGGAGGCCCGGGTCGACTCCTCTTTGGGAAGCCAAAATGCTGCCCCTGGCAGCGTTTGGTGACTATGAAGCCCCTGGTGGACCCCCCCTGGGCTCCCAAATGATGCCCCTGGCAGCGTTTTGTGACCATGAGGCTCTCAAGAGATACATGTTGGGGACGCCAAACGGCAATTCTAGCTGAGGCGTCCCACCAAAATCGGCGCGAACGGGCTCGTGAGATCAGCCAGGGTGGCTCCCCCCTTGGGGCTCCCAAATGATGCCCCTGGCAGCGTTTTGTGACCATGAGGCTCTCAAGAGAGACATGTTGGGGAGGCCAAGCGGCAATTTTAGCTGAGACGTCCCACCAAAATCGGCGCGAACGGGCTCGTGAGATCAGCCAGGGTGGCTCCCCCTTGGGGCTCCCAAATGATGCCCCTGGCAGCGTTTTGTGACCATGAGGCTCTCAAGAGATACATGTTGGGGGCGCCAAACGGCAATTCTAGCTGAGACGTCCCACCAAACTCGGCGCGAACGGGCTCGTGAGATCAGCCAGGGTGGCTCCCCCTTGGGGCTCCCAAATGATGCCCCTGGCAGCGTTTTGCGACCATGAGGCTCTCAAGAGAGACATGTTGGGGAGGCCAAACGGCAATTTTAGCTGAGACGTCCACCAAAATCGGCGCGAACGGGCTCGTGAGATCAGCCAGGGTGGCTCCCCCTTGGGGCTCCCAAATGATGCCCCTGGCAGCGTTTTGTGACCATGAGGCTCTCAAGAGATACATGTTGGGGGCGCCAAACGGCAATTCTAGCTGAGACGTCCCACCAAAATCCGCGCGAACGGGCTCGTGAGAACAGCCAGGGTGGCTCCCCCTTGGGGCTCCCAAATGATGCCCCTGGCAGCGTTTTCTGATCATGAGAGAGTGTGAGTGTGAGTGAATGTGACTGTGAGTGAGTCTGAGTGAGAGTGAGTCTCATCTTATCTTATCGAGTCCTATCTTATCTTACCTTTAATACCCTCTATCTTATCTTCTTGAAATCTCTTATCTTGTCTTAGCTTATCTTATATCAACTCATCTTATCGCATCATATCTTGTCTTATCTTATTACTCCATAGGCTGTCTTATCTTATCTATTATCCTACCTTGTCATATATCTTATCTTACCTTATCATATCTTGTGCTATCTTATCTTATCTTGTAGTATATGATCTTGTCTTGTCTTATCTGGTGATTATCATTGGGAGGAGGGAGGCGGGAGGCGGGAGGAAGAAGGAGGAGGAGGAGTGGGAGGCGTCAGAGTAATAACAAGAACCCCAATCCTTAGGATATGGGGAAAAAAAGAGAGGGAGGAGAGAGAGAAAGAGAGAGAGAGAGAACAAACAAACAAATATAACAAACAAAAACAGAAAGATGGAGAGGAAACAAAAGAAAACGATTTCGCAAATGAGAGAAAGAGAGAGAGAGAGAGAGAAAAAAAGAGAGAGAGAGAGAGAGAGAAAGAAATAAAGAAAGAGAGAGAGAGAGAGAAATAAAGACATGAGAGAGAGCGAGAGAGAGAGACTGAGAGAGAAAGAGAGAGAGAGAGAGAGAACATTCACAAAAAGAAAGGGAGAAAACATGACGGGGGGGAAGCACGCAAAAGCTTAAACAAACATTGGGAAAAAGGGCGAGAAAGAGAGAGGGAGAGAGAGAGAGAGGGAGACAGGGGGCAGAGAGAAAGAGAGAGAGAGAGAGCAAACACAAAAAAACGACAAAGAGGACGAAAGAGAGAGAGGGGGGGGGGGGAAAAGGGAAAGAGAGAGAGAGAGGGAGAAACGAGAAGAGAGAGAGAGAGAGAGATAAAGAGAGAGAGAGAGAGAGAAAAAAAAAAAAGGAGGGAGAAGAAGAGAGAGAGGACAAAAAGAAGAGAGAGAACGAGAGAGAGAAAACAAGAAATAACAACATATAAAAAACAGGGGCCCAAAAAGAAGGGGAAAGAGGGAGGGGGAGAGAAAGAGGGAGAGAAAGAGAAATAGAAAGAGAAAGAGAGAGAGAGTGAGTGAGAGAGAATGAGAGAGAGAGAGAGAGAACAAAAAAAATGAGAGGGAAAGCTAGAGGGAGAGTCAGAGAGAAAACAAGAAAAAAAAAAGAAACAAAGAACCCCCCCCCCCGAAAAAGAGAGAGAGAGAGAGAGACAGACAGACAGGCAGAGAGAGATGGAGAGGGAGCAGGCAGGGAGAGGCAGCAGTGGAGAGCAGGGAAGTCAGATGTGCGCGGCGGGGGACGGGCTGCCCGCGCCCGGGGACTCTTCGGGCGCAGCCCGAGCGCGGCGCGCGCGGGCGCAAGATCGGCGACGACCTCCACGCGCAGGGCCCCGGGGGCGTCGAGCGCCGCGGCCGACGGGCTTCTCAGCGATGGCAGCCAGCCCAACGCACGCGCGTGGACCACGTCCAGATGCGCACTCCTCTGGCTCTCGGCGACGAGCGACGCAGCGCGCCGGCCTCTCGGGGCCCAGCTCCGCCCCTGCCGCTGAGCGAGCCCGCCCAGTCAACGCCTCGCTCGCGGGATCTCAGCGCGGCGAGGGTGCCCCCGTCGATCTCTGGCGCGCTCGGATGAGTCGCGGCCGCCTCGCGAAAATTGAAGTCGCCCAACGCGGCGGTCAGGCGCGCCCCGATATCCCATGCTCCGCCGCGACCCAGACCAAGGACCTGCGCGTGTCATCTGGGCCCAAGCCACAGTTGCGAATGCCATGGGTGGCCAGCATCGCGTCATGTCGACCTTCATTAGCACGAGCACAAAACCAGAAGCCGATGAAAACGTCCAGGAAGGCTGATGATGTGTCGACTGCGATCTTCTTCAAGAGCCAGCCCTGCCACTTGTCGTGCCATGTCAGATATCAGGATATTATCAACGCCAGCATCAGGGCGAAGGGATAGAAGGGGGAGACCGCGACATTGGAGTGAGCGTTGTACACCAGACGGCGCAACTCCTCCGAGTTGCCGCGCATCCTTGCAAAGCCTATACGGAATGTGATTGCGTGAGTGACCTTGACCTCCAGTGTTTGATTGCGCGAGTACATGCGAGATTATGGAGCAGGGAGGCGAGTGCGCCATGTCGCAAACGCTGGGGAAGCAGGAGCAGGGTAGAGAGCGTCTCGAGCCACGGAATCATGGCCGCGGTGACTGCGCCACCGAACTTCCACTGACGCATGGAAGACGCCGCTGGAACGGACAATCGTCGCATCCTTGTTGGTGCCAAGGTCCGCCCGAGACGGCAGCATAGTCCCAGAGGATCTTGGTACTCCACCCCCTTTGCTGTTCGACTTCGAAGTGCATCGCTGGAACACCTTCCACGTATATAGAGCTCGCCTTGCGCACGATCATGTCAAACGCGCTGCTGTGCATAGACCTCCCCAGTCCCTCGTGCCTCTTGGCCTGGACCTCTCGGCAACCATCCACGCAGCCATGTTAGACCCGCCCCGCGAAGAGGCGCGAAGAGCCGCCCTCGATGGTGCCAACCTGAAGCTGTCGCCACGCCTGATGGCCACGCCGGAATCCCCCGACATCTGGGGCACAAAGCGCCTGTCTTGCGCCGGACCATGTCGCGACAATTGCGCGGTGCCCAGCCCAGCATTCTGCAGCCACCCCTCGTCGATCGCCACGTTCGCACCCGCGGGGGCGGCCATGGTCGAACCGTCAGGGCCCATGTCCCATTCCAGCATGCCCTCGTAATCCCTTGGTAAGGGATGGTGGACTCCGCGATGTAGACTTGCTTGCGAAGCTGCTCGAACTGGTCGCGCGTAGTCTGCTGCTCGCGGCCCTGTTCGTTCTGACGACGCTTGAGCTCCGCAGCCTCATCTGTTCGTGTTGCGCTGCCACCGCCTTGACCAGCGAGGCAGTGCAATCGCTGACGTGCGTGACCATGGCCGACTTGGCGTCGGCGACGCGCTGCTCGATGGGACCCACCAGCTCCAGCTTGAAGCTGGCTAGCAGCTCGTCAATGTTGACGGGCGCTGCAATGGGCTCGTCAGCGGCCGGTCCAGAGGGGGCGACGCGGCGGAGTTAGCTTGTGTTCTCAGGCGCTCTGGGTGAGCTGTCGGCGACCACGTCGATTCGTCAGACTGGCCTGAGTTGGAGTAACTACGGCCCTCCCTCCTGCCAGCACGCGCGAGCACAGGCAACGAAGGGATGGGAAAATCAAACTACTGCCTCCCGACTGCGCCGCGCCACCTCGAGCCGGCGCCGGACACGAGCAGCTGGGACCGAACAACAATGCTGGGGCCGAGGAACATTTTCGGACCGGCTATTCTCTGTTCGGGCCGTCGTCGTCGTCGTCGTCGCCGTCGCCGTCGTCGACATCGTCGTCGTCGTCGTCGTCGTCGTCGTCGTCGTCGTCGTCGTCGTCGTCGTCGTCGTCGTCCACGTCGTCCGACTTCGTCGTCCGTCGTCGTCCATCGTCGTGACGTCGTCGTGACGCCGTCGTCGTCGTCGCCGCCGTCGTCGTCGTCGTCGCCGCCGCCGCCGTCGTCGTCGTCGTCGTCGCCGTCGCCGTCGTCGCGGCGGTCGCCCCCGCGCGCGTGCGCGGCTGCGCTCGCCGCCGCCCCCGGCGCACTCCGCCTCTTGCGCCGCCCGCGGCCGGGAACTCGGCTGCACCCACGGCGCGTCGCCGCGGCAGCCCCGGCGACGCGCTGCCCCCCGCGCGCGCCGAGGGCGCGGCGCTCCGAGATCCGCTGGGATCGGAAGGCTCGGCAAGGCTCGAGACGTCTGCGGAGCAGCAAAAGTACTCCCCCTCCTCCTCCTCCTCCTCCTCCGCCTCCCTTCTTCCCCTTCCCGCCCTCCTTCTCCTCCTCCTCCTCCTCCTCCTCCTCCTCCTCCTCCTCCTCCTCCTCCTCCTCCTCCTCCTCCTCCTCCTCCTCCTCAGCCCTCCGGGAGGGGGCCTGCGGGGGTGCATCGGACCGGACCGCCCAGAGTCGGTATCCCTGGTGCGACGACGGGGACCTCGGTGAGGCCACGTCCCCATCGTGTTCACAAGGCTGGAGGCTCTTCTGCTTTGGACGCCCGAAATGGGCACAGAAGGAGTGGGCACAATGCCCAACAGCAAGTGTTGTCCCAAACCAACAGCGGCCGCTGTTGGGCAGGCGGCCTTCTGTCTCACACGAACACAGGCCGCGGCGGCGCGGACAGCGAGTCCTGTTCAAAATGAACAAGAACTGTTGTCGGTCCTTGTACCCATTCTTTCCGTACCCATGTCGGGCGTCCCGATCTGCACTCAGGGAACGTTGACGCTGGGAGGCCGGGAGAAGTGGACAGCGTGTCGCGCCGAAGCGTGGCGGGCCGGAGCCAGCGGCCGGCGCGGCACGCGTAGGCCAAAGTTCCTGGCCCTGGCTGGAAGAGAACGAGATGGGGGGAGGGGGAAGGAGGGAGGATTAAGCATTAAGCAGCTGGCAGAGGGAGGATCAAGCATCCCAAAGGAAAGGGGCAGAGATGCCCAGATCTGGCCCATCCGGGGGGGCGCTCTATAGCTCTATCTTGCCCCTCGGCGGCCGCGGAGCGGTGACATCACTCAACTCAGAGGTGGAGGGGGTGGAAAGGAGGGAGGATGAAGCATCGTCTAACCGTCCGCTATCCCCGTGGGAGTGGCCTGGGCCTCACTGGCCGACTTACCACCCCAGATCGGGATATAGTTTCCTGCGGGCTTCGAGTGGTATATCCCCGACTGGGGTGCTGAGCTGGTGGGGGGTTTGATAGGGGTGGGTCGGTTCAACGGTACTACTGGATAAGCGGTCTACAATGTGAGCAAGGGCTGCACCCCAGCGCGGAGGAGAGTGCCGCGAGACGAGCAGAGAGGGAGAGGAGGAGGGGCAGGAGAAGAAGGACAAAAGGGATCGGACAGTACGAGGAAGAGGGAGAGAAAGAGGAGGAGGAGGTGGTGGAGGAGGAAGGGGAAGGAGCAGGGGAAGAGGAAGAGCCCAGCGTAAGGAGAAGAGGAAGAGGAAGAGGAAGAGGAGGACGAGGAGGAGGAGAAAGAGGAGGAGGAGGAGGAGGAGGAGAGGGAGGAGGATGAGGTAGAGAAGGAAGAACAGTCTGCCCCACAGCACAGGACGGAAGCAAAACGGGCACGTCTCGCACGCCCGCGCGTGGGGGTGAATCTCAGCGCGGCTCGACGCGCAGGACGTAAAGCTCGCCCTGATGGGAGGCCGCCGAAGTGGCCCCTGTCGTCGCCGTCGTCGTCGTCGTCCGCGTCGTCGTCGTCGCGTCCCTTGTCGTCGTCCGACTTTGTCATCTGTCGTCGTCGTCGTTCCCGTCGTCGACGTCGTCGTCGTCCCTCACCGTTTTGAAGCTTTCGAGGCTTTTTGGAGGGGGGCCTCCAGACGCCTGCTGGGGTCCACGGAGGCCTCCTGAGGCACCGCCAGAGAACGTCCGGCTACCTCTGGGCGTCGCCTCGTGAAGGGGCGATAAACAGCGGGCGAGAAGGGTGCACTTCTCGGGCCGTACAGGCCCCCTTTTGGGCCCTAAAGGCCCCTTTGCGGCAGCCCTTGTTGCCCCCCATGTATCGCCCCCCCATTGCGTGACGCCCGGGGGGACTCTTGTGCGCCAGATTGCGTCAAAGGTTCCGGAGCGCGCCGCATCGCCCATGCATCAGCTACACATCGCGGCCCCGTGGCCCCATTGCATTCGGGGGGGCCCGAGCAGGTCCTCCGAGGACCTCAGGGCGCCTCCTCCTTCTCACCCTCCTCCTCCTCGTCCTCCTCCTCCTCCTCCTCCTCCTCCTCCTCCTCCTCCTCCCCTCTCCTCCCTCCTCCTCCTCCTAGCTCTCAGCCGATCCTCCTCTCCCCTCCATCTCTCCTCATCCTCCTCCTCCTCCTCCTCTTCTCCTCCTCCACCTCCTGTTGCTCCTGCTCCCTCCCTCGCTCATACCCACCTTGCTCCTCTCCTCCTCCGCCTAACCCCCTCCTCCTGTCCTTCACCTGATCCCCCTCGCTCCTCCTCCTCCCACTCCTCGCCTCATCATCATCATCATCATCATCATCATTCATCACATCTCAGCATCAGCATCCGCATACTCATCATCATCATCATCATCATCATCAGCATCATCATCTCATCATCATCATCATCATCATCATCATCAATCATCATCATCATCATCCATCAACATCATCATCATCATCGTGCATCGTCATCGTCATCGTCCCATTGTCGTCCATCAATCATCATCATCATCATCTCATCATCATCATCATCATCATCACGCATCATCATCATCATCATCATCATCATCATCCTTCTCGTCCTGCTCTCGTCGTCTTTCTTCCGTCCTCCTCCTGTCATCTGGCCTCCTCCTCCTCCTCGTTCCTCCTGCTCCTCTTCCTCCTCCTCCTATTCCGCCTGCTCCTCCTCCCCCTCCCCCTCCTCCTCCTCCTCCTCCTCCTCCTCCTCCTCCTCCTCCTCCTGCTCTTCCTCCTCCTCCTCCTCCTGTTCCTCCCTCCTCCCCCATTATTCTTCTCATACTGTATATCCTCATATTAGTAGATTCCCGTCCCTTCTCTTCTCTTCTCGTCTCTGTGCTTCTCTTCTCTTCTCTTATCTTCTCTTTTCTTCTCTTGTCTTCTCTTATCTTCTCTTATCTTTTCTCTTCTCTTCTCTTCTTTTCTCCTCTTCTCCTTCTTTCTTCTTCTTTCTCTTTCTTTCTTGTTTCTCTCTTATTTCCTCTCTTTTCTCGTTCTCTTATCTTCTCTATCTCTCTCTTTCTTCTTCTCTTTTCCTCTTCTCTTCTCTTCGAATCTCTCCTCCTTCTCTCCGGTTCTCTTCTTCTCTCTTCTGCTCTCTCTTCTCTTCTCTCTCTCTTCTTGGACTCGCGTTCCTCCTCCTCATCCTCCTCTCCTCCTCCTACTCCTAGTCCTATCCCCTACTCCTACTCCTCCTGATAATTCCTCCTCCTCCTAAAACCTTCTGCTCCGCAGTCTCCTCCTCCTCTCCTTCCTCCGCCTCCTACTCCCTCCTGCTCCTCCGCCTTCTCCCCTCCCCCTGCTGCTCCTCCTTCCTCCTCTCTCCTCCCATCCTCATCCTCCTCTGCCTTATTGCTCTTCTTTTCCTGCTCTTCCTCATCCTCCACTATCTTCTTCATTCGTTATCAGTTTTTCCCCTCCTGTCTGCTCCGGCTCCTCATGCTCCTCCTCCTCCTCCTTCTGTTCCTCCTCCCCACCACTGCTGCTGTTGTCCTATTATCCTCCCTCCTCCTCCTCCTTCTCCTCCTCGTATTGCTCCTCCTCCTCCTCCTCCTCCTTCTCCTCCGTCTCTTCCTCCTCGCCCTCCCCCTTAAATTATTATGAATGTTCGTAGGTACCCTCGTCCTCCTCCTCCTCCTCCTCCGTTTCCTCCTCCTCCTTCTCCTCCTCTCGTCCCCCTCCTAGTCTTCGGTGTCTGCTTCTCATTTGTAGTATGAGTTGTCTCCATAATATTATGTGTCCGTCTCCTCCTCCTCCTCCTCCTCGTTCTGCTCCTCCTGCTGCTCCTCCTCCTCATTCTCCTCGGCCTCCTCCTCCTCCTCCTCCTGCTGCTCCTCTTCGTCCTCCTCCTTCTCCTCCTCCTCCTCCTCCTCCTCCTCCTCCTTCTCCTCCTCCTCCTCTTGTTCATGTTCCTGCTCCTCATCCTGCTCCTCTGTCCCGTCTTCCTCATCCTCCTCCTCCTCCTCCTCCTCCTCCTGCTCTGCTCCTCATTCTCATGCTGTTGCTGCTGCTGCTCATTCTCCTCCTCCTCCTCTTCCTGTTCCTCCTCCTCCTCTCACTCCTCCTCTCCTCCTCCTTCTCTCTCGCCTTCACCTTGGCACCTCCTCCTCCTCATGTTCCTTATGTTCCTCCTCCTCCTCCTCCTCTGTGTCCTCCTCGTCCTCCCTCCTCCTCCCTCCTCCTCACTCCTCCTCCTCCTCCTTCGCCTGCTAACTCCTGATCTTCCTCCTCCTTCTCCTCCTCCTCCTCCTCCTCCTCCTCCTCCTCCTCCCTCCTCCTCCTCCTCCTCCAGCCGTTCCTCCTCCTCCCTCTGCTGCTCTCTCCTGATCTCTCCTCCTCCTCACTCCTTCGTCCTCCTCGTCTCCTCCTCCTCCTCCTCCTCCTCCATCTCCTCTCGCCTCGGCCTCCTCCTCCTCCCGATCGCCCTCCTCCCTCCTCCTCCTCTCCTCCTCCTCCTTCCTCCTCCTCCTCCTCCTCACCTCCTCCTCCTATCCATCTCCTCCTCCTCCTCCTCCTCCTCCTTCTCGCGCCTCCCCCATTCCTTCCTCATCCTCCTCCGCCTCCCCCTCCTCCTCATCCTCCTCCTCCTGCGTCTCATCAGCAGCAGCAGCAGCATCATCATCATCATCATCATCATCATCATCATCATCATCCTCATCATCATCATCAGCAGCATCATCAGCATCATCAGCATCATCATCATCATCAGCAGCATCAGCATCAGCAGCATCATTATCAGCAGCATCAGCATCTGCATCATCATCATCAGCAGCATCATCAGCATCAGCATCATCATCATCATCATCATCAGCAGCAGCAGCATCATCATCATCATCATCATCATCATCAGCATCCTCATCCTCGTCCTCATCCTCATCCTCATCCTCATCAGCATCATCAGCATCATCATCAGCATCACGATCATCATCAGCATCGTCATCATCATCAACATCATCAGAATCTTCATCAGCAGCAGCATCATGAACATCAGCAGCATCATCATCATCAGCAGCATCATAATCACCAGTGGCAGCAGAAGCAACATCATCAGCATCATCATCAGCACCATCATCACAACCAGCACCACCATCAACATCATCATCAGCATCATCCTCATCATCGTCATCATCATCGTAATCAGCAGAATCAGCATCATCAGCAGCAGCATCATCAACATCAGCATCAGCATGGTCAGCATCATCAGCAGCAGTATCATCACAACCAGCAGCATCATCATCATCACCATCATCATCAGCAGCACAATCATCAGAATCATCATCAACATCATCTGAATCGTCTACAACAAGATCATCCGCATCATCATCGTCATCAGCATTAGCATCAGCATGGTCACCATCAGCATCGTCATTGCCATCATCATCATCATCATCATCATCATCATCATCATCATCATCATCATCATCATCATCAGCACCAGCAGCATCATCATCAGCAACATCATCATCATCATCATCATCATCACCACCATCATCATCATCACAAGCATCATCAGTATCATAATCATCAGCATCATCATCAGCAACATCATCAGCAGCAGCACAAGCAGAATCGTCATCATCATCGTCGTCAGCATCATTATTATCATAATCAGCATCAGCATCATCATCAACATCATCATCAGCGTCATCATCATCATCATCATCAGCATCATCATCATCATCATCGTCCTCATCATCATCATCATCATCATCATCATCATCATCATCGACATCATCGTCCTCATCATCTCCATCATCATCATCAGCATCAGCATCACCATCTTCATCAGCAGCATCATCATCATCACCACCATCGTCGTCATCTTCATCATCATCATCATCATCATCGCCATCATCATCATCATCATCATCATCATCATCATCATCATCATCATCATTATGAACATCATCATACCCCTCCTCCTCCGTCTCCTCCTCCTCCACCTCCTCCCAGCAGCAGGTCTGCCCGAAAACACACGTGCAGCCTCAGCTCTCATTGACCACCACGGGCAACGAGACGATGGTGTGTGACCGGGCTACCGCGCGCCCAGGCGGCCCTCCTCCTCATCATCCTGTTCCCCCCCTTTTTCTTCCATCTCCTCCTGCACCTTCTCCTTCTCCCCATCCTCCACCCATCAAAGGGCAAGTGCATGGGCAAGGGCGTCTGCTCTCCTGGATCTGATCCTGGACACGATCCTCGTCAGCAAGCTGCAGAGCCCGTCGACGCTTCTCTCTGAGGACATGTCCCTCACGGGGGGTGATCTGATCTCGCTCTGAGGAGCAAGCTGCAGGGCCCGTCGTCGTTTCTCTATACGGTCCTGTTCGCTGCGGGGGCGTGGGGTTGGCTTCGCTCTGAGAGCTGGGTGATGGGTCCTCCCCCTCCTCCGCCTCCTCCTCCTCGTTTTCCTCATTCCTGCCCCTAAATCCCGTTTCTGCTGCTGCTGCTGCTGCTGCTGCT